GACTTCCTACAGTCTGAATATGGATCCAATAATGATTATTTCAATTATATATGATTATAATTAATATTTAATACAATATCTATGAGTTTGATTGAATGTTATAGTGTTTCCATAGTATGGCTCAATATCTTGGTCAATTAAGGTAGAATGAGTACAGTTTACTAAGGATATTATATGTTATACTTCCAACACTTCTACAATGTGAATATCATCATTATACATCATATATATGAGATTGGTGATGATTCTAATAACACTCATATTACAGTACAATAAATGTTGAAAAGTTAATTTTTAGACAAGATGTAACTTTTTATATATACTGATTCAACATGATTAATTGAAAATATCATCTATTCATCTATATATCTACAATATATTCAAATTTACATTCCAACTCAACTTTGAAATTTCAGACCCAACAGGGTAAAAATCTTTATGTTTTAGGCAGTGCCTTATAACTTTTTCTAGACTTTATATTTTTCAAATATTTTTGTGATTATAGTCAACTCATATGTGTATCTATCATATTTGATATGATTGTGTTCCAAGTCATACTTGTTACTAGGAAATGAAAAATAAAAGTTAAACACTAGTTTTCAGAGTTGATTTTCTGAATAAGTACAGTGAATTAAAATTCCATTTCTTTTTTATTGTATAGTACACAACGTCTAGTATGATATTGGTAAAAGTCAATTTTCAATAATTGGACAACTAAATTTGGGTAATGGATTTACCCTACAGTCTCCCAAACCCAAACCCAAATTCTTCTCATCTTGATGGTTTGGCAACCATCATTAAACGACATGATGGAACACAATAATTCTTTCGGAAGGAGAAGGATATTAGTAGTCATTTTGATTTTCTTATTGTCAACCTGTAATTCAGTGTTGCTCATTCGTTTGGACATTTTTTTGAATTTTTCACAGATTTTTAAAAGGAAACAAATTTGATTAGAACCAACAGTTTTTTGATTTCCCGCCAAATATCAAAGGTTACCCGTTTAAAATTTCCACATCTTGATGGAAAATTTCCTTATTTTTAAATATTTTGTAATATTTCTTCAATATATTAAACAATCTTACTGCTTACAATTCATCCAAGAGTCAACTCTGTTTATTCCTCACTCGCACCATTTTAATTTCCTCCGAGAACTTTGCTGATTCAACAAGGACGCACAAAATTCGGCTTTTTTGAAAATGGAACTTAAAAATAGACAAACAAAAAAAATACAAAAACAAACTCTTCACGTTTCTGCAAGAGAGGGAGACAAAATGAATCAACTTGGGGCTATGTGGACCTTTTTCAAGAAAACCTATTTGGGGGTGGAGGAGAAGGATGGATCCACGGTGGACATACTTCATGATCATGTGGATTATGATGAAGAATTTGAAGGACATGGTGATGATGAGATGAAAATAATGTTAGGTTCGGAATCGTTTGATCATGAGAATGAGGTGCCAACACCGACATCATCAATGAATGAAACTACAGCTGTATTTGAACAACATATTTTGGAAAAGAAGGAAAATATCAAGTGGAAGTTGTGTAGAACGACAAAACAAGCTTTGGAAATTTATTTACAAAAATCAGCGATGAATACTACTAATAATAATGGACAACAACTTGCAACAAATAATACAAGTGGTAATAATACAACAACAACTTCAACACCTGAGAAAAAGACATGTAGAAGAAAGAGCTCTGCAAGTATTGACAAGTCATCATCATCAACTGAACCAACAAAAATATCAGTGACAGTTGGAAATGGACAGTTTGAAGTGGAATCATGTAGAGATGTTCCGTATATTGCTGATTCTGATGATCCAAAGCAAAAATTGAATATTTTCAGAACTAGAGTGAAGAGATCTTCACAAGATCAATCCAAACTGCCAGTACTCTTCTTTTGTCATGGTGGAAGTTGGAGAAGAGGTGATAGAACTCACAGATGGTTTGATGCATACAGTCGAATGGCCATGAGAATTTGTGAAGAGTATCCTTGTGTGGTTGTTGTGATTGGTTATAGATTGGCTCCTGGTGCCAAGACTGTTCCAGATCAATGCGAAGATGTCTTGTCTTCATTTAAATTTTGCACAGATAATATTGAAAAGTATGGAGGTGATTCTAATAATATTGCAATTTTCGGTCACTCTGCTGGAGCTCACTTGATTTCACTCTGTTTATTGAGATATGGAATGAATTTGAAGAATTTAAAGGATCCATACACAACTGAATCCAAAGATTTTGATGAGAGAGAACAGCTCGACAGGCAAATATTAGAGAAAATTAAGGCAGTAATTTGTGTTGGTGCCGTGTTTGATGTTCAGAATGTTGCTGATAGAATTTTCCTTACTAGAAAATTCATTGTTGAGCCAGCTTTTGGAGTTGCTGATCGATATGATGATGTCTCTCCAATTTATTATGTGGAAAGAGAAAGAATTTTCCTCTCCAGACATGTACATAATTTGAAATCAGTTCCTTCATTCTATATCGCAAATGCTGCAAGTGATCTTGGATTGGAGGATCAGGGAGAGAGCTTTGCTACAAAGTTGAAACAAATTTATGATGAATATTCGAATGGACATATATTGTGGGAAGATGAATCAAAATCCCCAGTTGTAAAATACAAACGGTACGAGGAAGGAACTAATCACTTTACAATTATTGGACTTTCACATGCTATGGGTAATATCTATGAACCATTAGTTACTGATATTTTGAATTTTATGAAACAAACTATTACTGTTGACAGCTTTGTAGCTAAGGAAATTTCCAAACCTGCAACTATTCCAACAGCTTTGGCAAGTGCTAGCAGTAGTGCAGAACTAACCTTGATTGATGAGGAAGATAAGGAACCAACCACGGCCATTTCTTCTATCACATCTGATGAGGAAGATAAACGACACATGACTCGTGTGGAAAGTTTAGAAGTAATTCGAGGAACAATGGGATTGTAAATAAATAATTTATTCTTCTTCTTCCTCAACAGGTTCTTCCTTTTGTGTTTTACCTTTTGGAATAAAGTCCAATTTGAGGGTCTTTCTGACTGTTGGTGGTTGAATTGCTAGAGTTGTCTTTCTACTCTTCCTGGTGGCAGTGGCTGGTTGTTCTTGATTGGCTTCATCATTATCTACAACCAATTCTTGAACTATATTTCGTTCTTGTTGCTTTTTAGCTTTTGAATATCCAATACCTGTGGATGGTTGATAATTTCCATATCTCAATGATTTTTTGAGAGAGCTGTGGAGTGGAATTTGGAATCTTGATGTCAAACTATTACTACTTCTGAGCTCTTCCAGTAAACGTTCCTTTTCATTGACAGATTGTTGCATGGCCGAGTCAACCATACGCCATCTCTGTTTCTTGTACACACTGACAAAAACTCCATTGTCAGGATTTACCTCAAGAGTGGCATTATGTAGAAGAGAAGAACCAGTCATTGACTTTTTCTTTTCCAACTCATGAGATGATTTCTTTGTGTCGCTCTCCAAAATGGCTGAATCAGTGTCCATCTTGGAACAAATAGGACATCTATTGAGACAATTAATTTCATCCAAGCAATGTTCATGTAAAGCATGTCCGCAATAGAATACTTTCAATTTTCCACCCTTTGTGTTATCCTCATCTAAATCATAAATCGAACAATCACACAATCTACAATAGTTTGATTTAGGCCTTATACCCCTTCTGGTTCTTCTAAATCTTCTTCTGTGAAGCCAGAAGCCGTCACTTTCCAATAATCTATTAATTGAGTGATAAAGCATGAGCTCAAATCCACACTTGTCATACATGTCTAATAGAGGCTCTTTGAAGTAACCATACAAGTCCTTCTTGTAATTCTTGGCAGCTTGTTGAAGTAAGTGGAATACTGAAAATTTCTTTTCTCTTTGATGTTTTTCCTCAATACTCGTTGATTGTGAATCATCATTCTCATCCTGAATACTTGATGAAGAGTTGGACATTTCAGTGAATACCAATTTGAGTAAATGATGCAAACACACTTGAAGGAACAAGTTGCTAGGTCTATTCTTTAAATTCTTTGGAGCTAGTGGATCAGTTGCTTCTCTCATCATTCTCTCGTCCTCTCTCTTTTTTTCATATTCCAAATCGGCAAGGAAATTTCGTAAAGCAACCAATCTTTTCTCAATTCTATTAATTTTCTCATAGGTTTCCTTGGTAACTACAGGATCAAATTCATATCTGACCTTTTCTTGGAGTTTTTCCTTTTCTCTAATTGATGATGCAATCATTTCCTTGTGATCATTAATATTTTCCTCAATTGTAATATCCTCATCATCACTGAGACCATCCATAAAGGTCATTGAATCGTTCAGAGCATCCCTTTCTCCATCATCAGAGTCATCATCACTCGATTCATGTTTCTTCCTCTTTTTTGCTTTTTCAGAGCTTTTTGATGTTGTTGTAGGTTCTGCTTGACCTTTCAAGTTTTGTTCACAATCTGTTGAAGATTTACAGTAGGATTCGAATAACTCACGAAGCGGCACCACAAGTTTGTCCAACAAATTAAACCACAATTTTTCAACTTCCTTATCAGATAATCTACCGTTATCAATATTTCTCTTGCACATGTTGACAATTTCAATAATTAGCTGCTTGAACTTTTCATAAATTTCTGATTGAAGAATACCCATTACACTACTAGAATAGAATTGGACTTCTAAAATTCTTCTCCTTCCTTTGGATAAGCTATTAGGGCTAACAATCATGGCTGTCATGTCTTGTACGACCGTAGACTCGTCAGTCTCTGAAGCTGATGAGGTTGTGAAAGCTGTCACAACAGAAACCATCTTTTGAGCCCAAGCTTTCAATTCATCCTTATCATCAATCTGTTGTTTCTTTTCAAGATTTGGATCCATTACTTTGGAGAGTTTGATTTTTCGTTGTTGTTGTAATTCTTCCCACTTGATTTGTAAATAATTTCTGTACTTGGAATCAAATTCCTTGAGAAGGTAAAAGAGATCAGTTATTGGAGGACCATTCAATCCTTCATCATGATTTTCATTAGGTTGTTGTTGTGTGGAATTGTAATAATCTTGTTGTAGTTCAGCTAAATTAATGCTCTTTGTGAAACGATCTTCTTCAGAGACACATTTTTCACACAATTCTCTCAACTTTTCATCAACCTTTTCCAAGTAAAGTTTAACAGCTCCAACAACATCTCCACCTCTTTCTAACAGATAAGAGGTTGCATCCAAAATATTGTGCTGTCTACAGAATTTGAGACATTCATCGAGAGGATAATCCCTCTGTGAAGATACGTAGGTATACACAGATTTTGGTTCANATTCACACAACAATTGGAAGTATTTGAGGTGAGTATTTCTATCCAATGTGAGACCCTTTCGTTTCATAATTCATGCATTGAATCGCTTGTATTTCCAAATGCATAATAATCAAGTGAGCTGTGGCATCACTGTCACATTCAATGAGCTGTGAGAGATGGTTGATGGTGGCTATTTTGATTCTAGAATAGATTTGCTCCTTATTGAGAAGATTCTTCTCTGAAAGATTGAAGAGTGAGCTATTTTCCTTACTTGTATAGTTCGATTCTACTTTGGTGAGATTGTTGATGAATGTAAAAACTCCACCACGTAACTCCTTATCTGCCAAATAGGCATCCAATAACTTTTCGTAATCTCCTTTCAAAGAGTAGAGATATATGAGGACCTTGTGAAATCTGGAATTTCTACATGATGTTATCAGCTCTTCAATGTTAATTAGCTCCTTTGAAATGTCTCTGTCAATAATATGATGAGCATTGGTTAAAATTTCAACCAGTTCCAATTGTGTGGTGGCAATATCATCATCAAACAAGTTTCCTTCATAACATAACGTGGAAAAAATTCTATGAAGAGTATCCACAGAGACAAAGATTGAATTCTTATCAATAGCTTGTTTTCCAGACTTGGACAATTGTTCAGCTAAGAATAATGAAAAGTAGACAGTATCTTCTAGATTTGGAGCCCAATGTGCTTGTGGTGATTGTTCCTCCTCTATGGTAAATTTCTTTGTTTTCATTTCCCACGGAGAGAAAGGATTTTCAATTCCAGACAAGTAGCTGAAAATATAAATCAAACAATTCGTTAACTCTTGTTTGGTGATTGGCTTGAATAGTGGATGAGCTAAAACCTCCTTTTCCTCAGTAGAGTACCATAAACTAGATGAAGAACTATCATTGTTGACCTTTTCTAACCAAGCAAAGAATCTCTTGGCAGATAAGATGAGCAGCCGAGAGAGCATGTAATACTTCTTGTAGGAAAAGTTCTTAGAGAGCGCTGATGACTTGAATGGCATTGCAGAGCTAGAGAATTGGTCTCTAATATTCTCATTGGCTTTAAAGATGGTATTCAAAACTTGGAGTTTGATGTCATAGAGAAGTCCAGCAGAAATACGATTATTCGTAATGGAAGTTCCTTGAATGAATAGCTTTTCCAAATATTCGAAAACCAACTCAATACATGCAGGCCTGTCTCCTTGCGAATTATTATTTGGATCAAAAACAATGGTCAATAATTCTTTAAGCGGAGTAACATAGTCGTCCAATCCCTTATTGTAAATAATAACCATGGCTTTGAACATTCTCAGTCTAATACACTTTTCAATTAATTGTTTGCAAAATTCTACATTGGCATACTCATCCGTACTCAAATGATCATTATATTCCAAGCAAAGAAGGAAATTCTCGAGAGCTGGCATGTTAGAAGCTTGATAAATTTCCAAATGTTGTTGAATAATCTTATCCACGAAATTATTGGGAACAATAACAATTTCAGACTCGCTCGATATTAATAAACCTTTGATGATATACTCTTGAATAATTGAAATGAAAAGTCGTTCCTTGTTTTTCCCTTTAAATATTTCATAGAAGGTTGTGAAAATCTTGTCAGATTTTTCAATCTCTATCGAATACCTAATACATGTCTTGGCAAGTTCTGTATAATACTCATCAATTCCATTATCAGACATTTCATCTTGATCTCCTGGAGTGTTAACTTGAGAAGTATAATAATCTACATAGCCCTGTAAAATATCTCCAATAACATCACCAGCCAATTGTTTTCTGAGACTGGAATCGGTTGGCAGACCAATAACAGCAATACCTCTTCCTTGATAGAAATTGAGAGCCATCTTGAGTGCATGATTCCAAGATCCCATATCCAATAGCTGATCAATTCTTTCCTTCCAACTCAACACTTTTACAGTGATAACAACTTGATTATTAATATTCATATCGTTATCACACAATAAATAGGCAACTCCATCAACAGATGAAGCTCTAGTACAAAGAGTAGAATGAAAAGATGGAACAGGATGGAGAGTAAATTTTCCATCATTACTCTTTACATCGAATCTGGAGTGATAGGTTAGGTGGTGAGTTGAAATTACCTTCTCCTGTGTAGCTTTTGTTGGTATTTCGAATGTAATCTTTCTCTCTTCGACATTCTTTGTTGCGAATGGATCAACAACAAGCAGTTGATGCTCTCTGTCCAATAAAAGCATGACTTGCTCTCCACACCATAATGCTCCAATCAAATCATTCTTAAATTCCATACATGAAACTCTGAACATTTCACTATTTACACTGTCGTTTGGAACTGATCCTTTTGGTTGAGGTTCCACCTCCAATTGGAAAATATTCAAAATATTACCCCAAGCAATAGCTAACAGAGGTGGTTTAGTCTTATTGAGTCTTAAAATTTGGTTGAGTGTAGTTTCGTGGGAGGTTGCCAGCTGAATTGGAGCCAAAACTTTTCTCCAAGACAGATAGGGAAGTGTGGTTGGAGAAACTTCCTCAGGTTTAGATAAAAAGCAAAGAATCTTTACGAATGGTTCAAGAGCCATTACAAAAACTCCCATACTTGTTGCCATAGCAACAACAAGGTAATCATTACTAGCGTGATAAGCTTCTCCTTCTGCAAGAATTTTCACATCGACTACTCTATCAAAATTGTCATCAGTGACTCGTAAACTATCATACACGTATGAATTTCCTCCCAATTTGATTAACTTTTCCTTGAGTGTTATCAACTTGACAGCTCCTTGACTAGAAACAAGTACCTTGAAAGGATTATTTTTTACAAATTGAATATTATCTACTGGTGTCATGAACTCTGAACTATTACTATTTACATTTTCCTCTCCTTTACCATTAATTCTCTTGATTAACTCACCACCATTTTGAATACTCCAAAAGGCTATATCACCGTATTCATAGCCACAAACAACGTAATTTCCTGTCGATGTAATATCCATACAAGTTACACTGTTATATTGATTTACAATTGGTTGTGGATTCTTTGTTGGTGTTCCCTTTCCTTGTTTGGTCAATTTCAAGTGAGCTACCTTACTGCTGCTATTGGAAAATATAACTGTTGTTCCATTAGATGTACCAATAGCCAAAATGGTAGAGGAAACTTTGATTACTTTACAAATACCAATTTCTTGACGATGCAACTCCAAATATTCATTAATTGATTTGATCATGTCGAGCTTAATCATGGACAGGTTGTGAGCCACTACCCCTCCATAATAATCTTTCCAATTATCAATAGAATTGAATTCCTTCAAATCCTTGATATTCTTCTTTCTCATGGCTGTTATCAGAGCTCTAGCTTCCTCAGTATTTTTGACTAATTGTTGTGAGGAATTTTGACGACTGATTGATCCTTGTTGAAGTGCCTCTGGATCATAATCATCTGATGCCAATGAATCATCATCTTCTATATCACCATTATTGATGAGATTGTGAATATAGTCCGATCCCATTTCAGAAGTTGTTGAAGTGGATAAATTGTCATCATCAGAGTCAAACTTGTTGTTTCTGGCATGTTTTACAATATTTGCAATTTCATTACCTCTGTAGTCCTCTTCCTCATTATCAGAAGAAGAAGAAGAAACTGCTGAAGAATGTGGTGAATTTAAAATTGAGTCAATGACCTTGTCAGTGTGCTTAACACGAAGAGTTCTCAGGAGTATCTTTTTCTTTTCATATTCCTCTTCGGATGGTACTGTGAGAACTGTTACCAAATCTTGATGTTTTCTTCCATGATGATGGTGATGATGAGTTACATGATGATTATTCGAAAGTTGTTGATTATTCAATGAAGCTCTCTTATTCGATGGATCATAGGGAATGAACAATTTCTGCAATTGATATTTAGTCTGTTCCAAAACACTGGCTTGCTTTAGAATTTCAAATCGTTCAGAATCTTCTAATTTCATATCCAACAAAATATTCGACGGTGAAAAGTAGAGTGATTGTTGTCCACCAGTGTTTGCAGTATTCGAATTTGGTTTCCTTTGTTTTTCATTGTTTTCCAATGTTGTTGTTGGTGTGCTGTTGGATGAGGAGGGCATCAATGAAGCATACGGATTTGACATGAAAATTGCTTCATTCTCCTCTTCCATAAATTCATCCGAGTAGTAATTGTCATCATTATCTTCTTGTTGTTTATGGCCACTAGCACCTGTAGTAACCATTTGTGTTGGTCCATCATCTCTCAATATTGTTTTTACAGTAATTTTTCGTTTCTTACTTGTTGCTTGTTTGTTCACCAATGCTGCTGCTCCATTTCTCTTTTGTTGATTTTGTTCATCGACACCACTTTCATCATCATTGGATGATTCATCCGAAATTTCATCTAAAATTGATGACAAGTATTGTTTATAGGGTTCTTGATGGTGATCATCATCATCTGCTTCAACTCGTGCCGATCCGATGATCATATTCGGTTCAGTACTACTCTCCAACATGAAACTCTGCAAATCTTCTTCATGTTCATCATCGGAATCGGCTGCTTGATATTTTCCATTATTATTATTATTAATTAATTATTATTATTATTAGATGATGTGGAACCGAATCGATTATGAAGAGAGGAAGAAGAGGCAAGGAATTGATGAGAAATTGTTCGATGATTATTGTGATAGGAAGTTGAAGTGTTGAGTGTTGATGTACTGGTTAATTCATCATCATCCAAATCCATCATGATACTATTGTTGAGCGAAGATGGAAGAAGGTTAAGTTGGGGTTGTTGTTGTTGATTTTTAACACCTCCCGCTGGTGTGATTGATGACATTTTTTTGAAAATATTTTTTGTAATTTTTAAATATTTAATATTATTTAATTTTATATTACAATTTAATTGCTGCTTCTGCTACCTTCTTAATCCTAACCTTTTCAAAAAATCCCTTACTAGCAGATTTAAGAAAATTACGAATACAATTATCAATCACACTTTCCATAGGTGTAAAATAATCACTCTTCCCCTTTTCAAATCCAAATAGTAAAGGAAATACTGAATTGATTATTGTCTCTGGATGCTCTGAACTGATATCTACCAATTTCTTGTCCATATCCCATTCAGATATTTCATTAATTGATTCACATGTCATTATAATTTTAAATAAAGTCTCCCGAGTAAGATTTTGATAATTTGTAAAATCAATATTAAATTTCTGAAGAGGAGAATAATAACAAAGACTTTCCGAATATTTCCCATCCAAAGATTTCTTCAAACATTCCGTAGATATATAAAAGGTCAATAAATTAATAGATTCCCTACTATTCCTGTTGGTTGGATAAATTTGTAGCAATTTGAAGGAATTACTTGCTGAATTATTCCCTTCCGTGATGATATCAATATCATGAAATGAATTATTCATCAAATTCTTGATCAAATTATTCTGAAAATTCACGATTCGAGAAAGTAATCGATAGATAGAGGTACAATATTCAAAAGGAGTAAATGTAAATTTGGTTGGAATTTTGATAGTCACTTCTGTAACACCCATCACTCCGTGCTTCTTAACAATCTGTTCAATCATTTTTTTTAAGTTTTTTGTAACAAATCCCAAGATTGAGATTTATCTACTCCATATTATCAATTAGGATTGGGAAATAATTCTCTAAATAGTGAGCTGAAGGCCTGTTTTTGGATTTAAATCTACCATTTTCATGACCATTTGGCCAAATTCTGCGTTACTCCAAACTAAACTTTTCATCGATTTCTGGTAATTGATAGATTCGTCACATTCTTCTGCCTGTCTGTACAGCTCTGAAAATACACTAGAATTCTTCAAATACAGTAAGGTAACTCCTGCGCCCTGTAGCATAATTTGTGAAAATCATGGATATCTGATATTTTCATGTTTTTATTGTTTTTATCATGATGTGGATATTGACTTCTCACTGAAACATCACGAATAGCATGTCATTCATCCATTCTCTACCAGATAATTATCTTTTACTGTAATTTTCACTATTGGATATATTACTTTTAATATTTGTGATACTTTACTATTATATTCAATGAATAAGGGATGAGAAACATTCATTAGAAGAAGATAGATTACCAGTAATATATTCTCTCTCTGTACAATTTATTATTTCAATATCTGTCAAATTAATTGAGATAGAAGGTATTTCATCAGCTCATATCAAAATAGCTGGAGTTTTACTACCTTGAAAAAGAAGTCTGGAAATTCCAGTAAAGAATTTGGAACAAAAATCTTTCCGGCTACAATTTTGAGATGTGAAATCTTCCAATTAATACTATTAACATTACATCAATCAAGAGATCATTATCGAAGAAACAGTTAGAGAATGAGGGTAACTCTCAACAGGTAACTGAACAGACCAGGAAATAAACTCAACGAATTGAACACCACTTTATCCTGCTTTTTCAGAGTTGGAAACTGTGCAACTAAGCAACATGACAACATTAAGAAACATGATGAAAAGAGTACGTTCATTCTTGATGATTTTCGATTAATATCAATTCCTTTTATGGCTTAATTTGGTTGGAATTTTGATTGTCACTTCGGTAACACCCATCACTCCGAGCTTGGTAACAATCCGTTCATCAATTTTTTATTGTTTTGAAACCAACCCAGACCAATTTACTACCTTCAATGGTATTGTAAATATGATTTAATATAAACTTGGAAGGTGGTTAAGTAAACGTGTGAACACTTGTTCTCAAGCAACGTGACATTTTCAAATATTAGTATTGTAAATGAATTCCCAAGCACGTTCTTACCAAAAACAACACTCACACGTTTCCCAACCATTTCATTAATTTCCACCACAACAACTTTGAAAAAAACAATTTTAATTGCTTCTTCACAAAATTCATTTTATTGTGTTCGCACAACCTTAAAAATATCCACAAAATATTTTGTTTTTCAAAGCTATAAAAACTGCGAGCAAAAACAAGAACAAGCCTCCAAATAATTTCAAAAAAAAATGTCTCAACAACATCAAACTCTTCCTAACAATCAATTCCTCTCTCTTGCAAGAAGCCTCACTGAAGAAAAACAATTCATCATGGATGTTCTTTGCGACAATACCTATACCACCTACTTGGTGAATTCACTTTCTTCTGGCGATTCAATTTGTAGAAGATTGTGGTCAACTCCTATTAGAATTGATCCTCCAATGAAATTAAGAAATCAATTGCTGACCATCTACAAGATGATGTACACGAGAGATTTTAATGAAATTAATTTGGGAGCAAGAGTTTATTTAAAACGATCCGATCTTCATTATTTGTACAGAGGAACCTGCAGAAAGGACCGATCAGAGAATATGATTGAGTTTCATGTTGAACGTGGCGATGATGTTAAGTGTAGTTGGGTGAATAGAAATGAATTGGATTATTGGTGTAAGCCTATTTACAGTCATTGTTGGGAAAATGATGAAAGAATTGAATTGTATCATGTATTCGGAAAGAAAGTGTATGAATTTTCAGTTCCTGGAGAGAAGCAAACTCTCGTTGTTGGAAGCTTTTATTATAATGTTGGAGAATTTATTCAATTAATTGAAGAGATTCCAAAGATTATTGTTGATAAGAATGTTAAAACTGTGGTGGTGAATTTTAGAAAGCCTAATGTTTCGGATTCATTCTCACCTGCAAGAAAAAAGCAGAAAGTTCAATCGGCAAGTCCTTCACAAGTGGTAGTCAAGACAGTCATTGCCAAGCCTTTGAGTCCGAATAATACTTCAGTGACAACAATATTTGAGGCAGTGAAGGAGAGTGATCAAGTAATGGAAACTGAACTGGTGCAAGTTATAGTTAGCGAGCCTCCAATGATAATGAATGAAGCAACCCTGATTGAAGTTTTGAAGGAGAAACGTATCAATTTCAAGCATGTCATTCCTTTCATTAGTGAAGATGAGGATTTATTGAGAAGTTTGATTTCCAATATTGCTCTGATTATGGATCATCAAGGATTGAAGAATGTGGTCAAGATTCACACTTCAAAGAAAGATAAGGCATTGAGCTCTGAAGTGAATACTGAATTGATTCACTCAATTGCTGATGCAATGCTATCAAGAGAGATTGATTTTACCAACACCTTCTTCACACTGCTCGACATGGATGAAATTGAATTGTGCAAGCAGATTGTCATGTGTCTTGGAAGATTAGAATCCTACGAGAGCATTCTCTGTTTAGAAAGACACAAGATATTCATTGATTCTCTCTATGCCAGTATGAACAAGACCTTCACTGATTGTGTCCGAATGATCCTAGCTCTCGAAGAAAGAATGGTCGATGATGAAAATTCTCGAGTCAAAACATTGGGAAATTTATTCTCCATCTCTGAAGAAGTCACTTTACGAATCGTAGAAGATAGAAATGTTCACTCCCATGCTCAACTCAAAAGACAAAGACTTAAGGGAGCTCTAGAAGATCGTGTCCAATATCTGAAACAAATCAAAGCTTCTTACCTTACCAAGAAGAAATCAGCAAAGAAAGTTCAAGCCATCAATGTTTTAATTCAAAATGCAATGGATCAATTTCCAAAATGTAAATAAATGTAAATAACTATTATTATCAATTTCCTTATTAACATTTTAATTGAATTAGATCATACTCAATTGTACTACTTGATGATCACCACAACGAACTTTAGGATTCTCGAAATCAAAAAATCAAAGAAACATCTCATTTCGTTTATTTTGGGAAGGTGGAAAAATCATGTAACTTCATGCAAAAAAACGTTCAAAAAAATTATCTAACATCTTTACCGGTCAAGCAGCTAACCAGATTTTAGCCATACAAGCCCTCAAAATAATAATATCCCACAACTGTACTGGAAGGAAACATGTTAGGACAAGAAGAAACTAACCTAAACCAAAAAGAAACATCCCAAAATGATGACAATGCAATCATCATAGAACCTAACGATAATAACGCAACAGATTATCATCCCGATGATATTCAATCACAAATACAATTAACTGGTATTGAAGGATTACCTCACCACCTTCTATCCGAAATGAAAACTAATATTGGAGTAACAGTTGAAGAGCTGAGTAGAAAGCATATTGTCCTTCTCATATTCCTTCGCTATTTTGGTTGTGTTTTCTGTCAAAAAAGTGTTGTTCAGATTGTCAGCTGTTTGTCAAATTTAATCAAGTTGAATTGTGTGCCCGTTTTTGTTCATCAAGAAAGTAAGGAAGAAGCTGATGAATTCTTTTCAGAGAAGGGAATGCCTAAGCCATTGATCAAGTTGGAAAAGAAGGAAGATAAAGAAATAACTGTCAATAATCAAGCTTTGACAAGTGAGACAGTGTCAGTAACTTTTGAAAAGAGTGCAAGGAGTAAACTGATGAAACAATTTCTAAGAGTCGAAGATCCAGAAGGTACTTATTATTATAAGCAATTTGGAGTTGTGCCTTCAGCCACAAAGATGGTAACTTTCACGTCAACTTTGGATGCTTTTAAATTGTCATTGACAGAAGGTTATAAATTGACACCTGATGCCTCAAAGAAGGCAGATAGAGATCAATTGGCTGGTTCTTTCATTGTGGCACATGGCAGAATAGTTAATCAATTTGTAACTCATTCAGCTTCGAAAATTCCAGATTTTCTCGAATTATTACTTGATGTCGAAGGAAAAGGAAGTGATAATCTATTCGATTTATTGAGTATATCAGACGATTCTTCAACAAATGATGAAGAATCAATTGATAAGGAAGAAATTGTTCCAGAATTTGTAGAAACCTCACAGGTCAACCTTGTGGAAAGAAAAAATATGAAAAAACTTTTGCAGAATTATCCAATGGCTCGAAAACTTGCTTCTCTCCCAAAAGAAGTAATGAAAATGAAAGACAAACGATCATTTAGTTGTACATCAGCTCAAATTGACCTCTCGTGTACCATTTCACTCGAAGAATCATTAATCAATCCACAATATCGAAAAGTTTTCAAACTATTTGCTGCCAAAATTTATGCCATTGAAAGTTTACTGTTTTGGGAACATGCAACTGCCTATCAGAAATTAAAAACTCTGAAAAAGAGAAGACAACTTGCTCAATATATAATTGATACATATTTGAATTCGGATTCCATGTTGGAAATTAACATTTCGTCAGCCATGAAAAAGAGAGTCTTGTCAACCTTTGAAAAGGAAGGAGCAATTCCTGAATTGTTCGATGATGTGAAAGTTAGCATGGAAGGAGATGCAATTAAGGATTCGTTTTTGAGATTCGTTGAGAGTGAATTATACGATCAGAGAATTAGAAAGGCAAAATAATGAATCATTTTCGAATGGATAATAAACGTTATCTTTCAACTATAAAAACCAAGTTAGTTAACTGTAGATTTACTGTAATTTCAAAGGCGGTTTTTTGTAAAAGTTAGGATAATGACGTGTTGTTTCATTCCAGTTGAGTAACTTGATTTGCTCATTATTTTGAATGAAAGAACCTTCCCATATCTTTTTAGTAAATCTAAACGAATACATATATTTGAATAGATCCATGTAGGAAACAGCCAAGCAAAGGTATAAAAACGTTTCGAATAGAGTAACATGGTGGTGAAACCAAAAACCATGATAAAGACTATACATTGCCTTAAATGGATATCCTACCACTGTCAATAAATCCAACATGATGAACGAAACCTTTCCCCAAAATGAAAAGTTATTGGTTTTAAAAAATTGAATCGAATATTTCCAAGTGAAAAACCAATCATTATAATATAAAATTGTGGAAACAAGTGCTCTTCCTCCAATTGCAAAAACCAATTCAGAAATATTTTGTGGAATAATGAGAGCTCTGATATAATTAGTCCTGGGTTTCAAACTAATGTTGCATTTAGCAATTTCAGTTGGTCCAAATCGCTGATGTCGAAACAATTTTGGAAATTTCACAGCCAAGTATTCATTGATATTTCCATCTGCTCTTGCCATTTCTCCATTCTTTGAATTGATTAGATTAAGAACTCTTCCATACAAACCACTCTCATTCTTTGCATAGGAATAGAATAGTTCACTTTCTCTGACACATGCTTTAAACCAATATCTTTGGAGAAAATCTTCACTGTGTTCACCAAGATTTCCTTTTTCTTTCATAATTTTTAAATAATTTTCACATCCTTTCATTCTAACTTGTTTAGATTCAGTTGGTTGACTAAACCAATTCAAATAAGGATGAAATTCAATTCTATTGTTTCTCTTGACCAATTCTCCTCTCACTCTAACAACTGTTTCTGAAAAATCCACATTCCATTTATCATCTGGCATAAAATAATTGTACAAAAGTGATTGTTTGTAAAATTTACAATCAAAATCTTCAAAATATAATAAACTAAACTCGAGTGGAGAATTCAAAACTAATGATTCGAATCCTCCTCCATTCATCAATCTATTACAAAGTATTGGACTGAAACGAGACACCAACTCATTCACCATCAATAATTGTTTCAAATCCAATTGTAATTTTTGAGGATTTTCTGGATATTTCTCTCCACAGGAACAATAACTCCACAACCTTTCGAATAGACATGCCCATTCATTTACATGATAAGTTAATCCCAATTTTTCAACAATTATTTGTGGATTCGTTCCATAAAATCCAAAATATTTTCCATTCTTATTAGCACTCACAATCTCTGATAATAATTCAAAAGTTGTCATTCCACCCAAAACTTTTAATTTCAAGAATCGATTTAATACTAATTGTTGAATTAATTGATCAACAATATTCTCATCATTTCCATTAAATTTGAAAATGTTCTCCACATGGCAATGATCGGAGGACTCAAGAGAAAGAAATTTGGAAGAAATTGGAAAATTATTTCTAATAAATCGGAGTGGATTCGTGTTGTGGATTGATTGTGAAAAGATGGTGAGGTAGATTCCATCACTGCATATGAGAGGGAGATTGGCATCATAGTGCATTTTTTGTAAAGCAAAAACCAATATATTAAAATATAAAGTTTACAGCGAGCGGGGCTTGAACCCGCGACCTTAAGCGTGTTAGGCTTACGATCTAACCAACTGATCTATCGCTGCTTACACAATATTTTAAAAAATATTATTTATATATCGTTATTGATACATAATAGGAATACAAAAATTCTAATTTAAAGCTCATCTTATTGTTTAGTTTGTATCATTTCAATCATCAAATACATGAAAGAATCACATACATGAAAGTCATTTTAAAAATTATATAAAACTCTTCAATTCTTTCGAGCCAAGATTCAAAAATCAAAAACTTTCCATTTTTAAATTAATTCATGAAAATGGTGATTTGGCTGACACTCTTTCTCATCTTCCATTCACTCTTCATATGCGATTCAAGTAACAATTATATAACCCATCAATAATATTATTATCAATCTCTTCAAATAGAACCATTTTAGGAAACATTCCAAACATAAAGTGGTAACTCTAATTTGAAACTACTTCTCATTCTTCCTTTTCATTCTTTGGCCAAGATCTTTTTTTACTTTCTTTCTAATAGTTATTGTCTTTCCATAAATATAGACACATGATGCACACGTTGAATAGGTTTTCTTCTTAACGATTCAATTCATGCAAACTTGCAAATTCTCAAAAAAAACGTCAAGATTGAAACTTTTCATTGTAAACTATCCATTATCCAAAATACAAATTTCAAAATTCGTTTTGTAAACTCCAATTATCCAACATCTAATCTCAAACATATTTGATTGTGTTCTTTCAGAAAAAACAATAACACAACAACTTTAAAAACAAATCAAAAAACATGCCATCCATTCATCCATCTTTCTTCTTTCCACTCTGTTGGTTGCCTTCTCCTGTCCACGATCATTATTTTAATACTTCTCATGAATGTAAATCAAGTGCAAGAATTCAACTTCATCAATTGTATTGTTCTCAATTGAATGAATTGAGGGAATTAAAACAAAAAGCGCAGAAAGTACTTGATTATTGTGACGATGATTCCGATGTAGTGATGAAAGATCAAGCAAGCACTGGTAATTCAAATCAAATGTCATCGACTACTGGTCAAGGACTTGCTAGAAATTTAGGTGTAAATTCAATACACGAGAGAAAACAACCTTCTTTCAATGATGAGGATTTTGTTTCTCTCCAGGAATTCCTTAACAAATCTAATAATGAAATGACTTGGGAAGAAATTCAGAAAATGAAACAATCAGAATCAATTTCTGTTAATATACTTTCGAATCAAAGTGGTGGTGCAACAAATGGAAGTAGACATAACCATCATGGTGGACATGTGGCTCAAGAGAGATCGACAGCACATCAAAATCACCACCATGGTCACCATCACCACAACAAGTCACACACTTTACCTTCAACAGATTGGGTTCAGAATGTGAAAATTATCGAAAAGGAAATGAAATGGGCTGCCAGATATCAACCTCATCGAATTCCAATGGAAAGAGGTAATTGGCTCAAGTTAGATACTCTTCTCTTGAGAGAAAGAGAGGAAAATACTCAATTGGTTCAAAATCAATCTTCCAAATCTTCAACTTCCTCACAAGATTTTGAGAATGGAAAACGTGGTCAGCTGGAAACCTCTCCAGAAACATGCACAGGTTTTAAGAAGAATTTCCAAATGGCTTTAAGATTAATTGAGAGTGAGAATGAGTTGGCTGTCGATCAATTCGATTTGGTAGTTCAACTCTGTACCAAGATGATCTATTCTGTTGTAACTCAATCTCCATTGTGTTGTTCAAAGTGGGAATTGGAGAATGAGCTCAATTCAGTTTCGAATGGAACAGAAAAGAAGTGCGCCAATAACAACTTGTCTCCTCACATGTTGGGCAGAATTCACAAGACCATTCTCCGTAAATCTGAAGAAATCTATTGGAGAAAGTTCATTGAAATTATCTTCCTCAAATTGATTGTAGATCCAAAGTGTATTGTTGTTGGCTTGTCATATTTCGAAAAGGTTATTTCATTGTTGGAGAATGAACGAGTTTCTTCTCCACTTTTGAAAGGTCAGCACGATGGATCCAATAAGGATCATTCATTAAGGAATTCCTTCAATAGGAATGAATTGAAAACAATCATGTGTATTTGTGTCATGTTGTCCAGTAAAATGTATGATGAGGACAATTATTGGAAGAGCAAGACTTATTTCAAATTATTCAGTAGTCTTTGTAGAAAGAGAGAAGATCACAAGAGAATTACATTCAAAGAATTCAATCAATTAGAAGTTGAAATCCTCAATGTGCTCCAGTTTGATCTCACTCTCGATATGGATGCTTTTGGAAGAAGAATTGTACAAAGATTCCTCAAAGTCCACTTTGATGAAGAAAGTGCTCTCCTAATGATCTAATAAAATCCTGAAATTGTCTCTCTTTAAAGAGACTCTAACAGCTAATGTTCATTACAGTGAATGGAAACATCTGAGAATAAATCATTCATGCTGAGTAATTTAAATTTCATTGCAACTGAATGATAGCTTGGAATCTTGATAGAGAATAAGATATTACTATCTATTTCACCATCCCAACCTCCAAAAACGAGCATTTCATTAGTAATATTGTTAAATTCAGCTACATGACTACTAAATCCCTTAGTAAAGATCTCTCTATCTGTATCTGGTAAGTCTTTTGTTTCCAATTTAATTCCATCCCATTGCATGGTATTAAAATCAAATTCGTAACAATCACAGAACCATTCCTCGCCATCATATCCAGACAGAATTATCATTTTCTGGTAATTTTCCAAATAGACTGCAGTGTGACTACTTCTTTCCGATGGAATATCCTTGAATAATTTTGTTACTTTTTTTGTGTTACCATTATGGTTGGTTTTTTTGATTTTTCCTTGATAAAGTAGTGTCCACCTTCTTGTTGTGAGGGAAAATTCACGTAAATCCGAATATCTATATTTTCAAATTCCAATTTTTCCATTTTAAATAATAGTATCATATTAATCAAAATAATATTAAAAATTAAATAAAATTTTGGAATTAAAAATTAATTATTAGATAAATAACAAACCTCTCATCTTCAGTTTTACCTCCAAATATGATAATTGAATTTCTATTCTCAGCATAAATCATACTAAAAACTTCTCTACAACTTGGTCTATTCATTAGGAAAGCTGGATCTTCTTCAACTCGACTCCACGTATTATTTCTAACATCAAATTCACAAAAGTCATCAAGATGAGAACTAGAAAAGCCTCCGAATAAGACCATCTTGTGAATGGAAGGAATGTAGACTGTTCTATGTCCTTGTCTTCCACAGGGAAGCTCCTCCATTGATGAGTCTTTTTGTGCATCAATCTTCTTCCACTCTCTTCTATCCAATGAGAAGGAAAACAAATGTTCATTATATTCATCGTGATAGTTAATTCCTCCAAAGACATAAAGACTTCTTGTGAGAGGACTGTAAGAACAGGAATGTCCCCAAATTCTAGGAGGAGTATTACTTCTTCTTTCTGCTGTCGATGATGATTGTTGAATAATTGGTGATTGTACAATTCTTTCCAAATATTGTTCATCGGATGAGATGTTAATATGAGAGATTTGTTCTTGCACATTGTTTGTATCACTTTCCTCAACTGTTGTACTAGTACTTTCATCATCATTCAATACTCTGCTAAAGAGCAACTTCCACTTATTTTCCATATAATTGAATGACATTACTTCATTGGTACAAGACTCTTCCTCGTACCACTCGTCATCTTCATCAAAGCATCCTCCAACAATGATAAGCTGATTGTAAGGAGCATGAATCAGACAACCACTGTGGAAACTTGTTGCTATTGGAGTGAGTTCTAATTCCTGTTCTGATAATTCGTCTTCAGAAGATTGTTTCTCAATTTCTACCAATTCTTCCAAGGAGAGAAGGGTTGGTGTCTTGGATAAAACTTGTAGAGAGTTGAACCGAAAAGTAATTTCCTTTCCATCATTATTTGCTTTCAACATCTGTGATGATTTGATGAATAGCAGCTTAACGATTGAATTAATTTGGTGAAGGAAGATTTTTTTGTTGTTATTATTGTATTCAATATTGGTTTGTAATATTAAAGTTCAAGATCACCTTCACTATATGATTACATCTATTCTTAATATCATTGTTCTGGTATTTTGTTAATATTACTTTCTTATTAGATGGGTGTGGTACTAACCTCCTGTATGTACCTCTAGCCACAAAACCGTTACGTTTGGAAAATTACATAAAAAAATTAATTAAATTGAGTCTCTACTTTGTATTTCAGATCAAATATTGTGGAAGATGAATAGCAAGTATTAAATACTAAGAATATTGTCAGTACGAATAAACATCTCTTGAAGCTGCTTTGAGCAAACAACATAAACTTCACATTCTTCACCAGCCTTGTATCGCTATTCAATCTGCAGCAACAGTTGCTCAAAAAAAATTAAAATAAAACAACCACGCTTTTTTCTTTAAAAAAAATACGCAAACATCAAAAACACTCTACCCGTGTGTGATTGTTGTTAGCAAATTTTAATCATCGAACACTAATTATAAAACTTCTTTACAATGTCTCTCTTCTCGTTCTCGCCAATCGAATTGGCCAGAGTTGATAGAATTCAATTCGGTATCTTGAATCCTGAAGTTATTGAAAAGATGTCTGTCTGTGAAGTGCTTCACGCTGAAACACAAGAAAAGGGAAAACCAAAGGAAAGTGGTTTGATGGATCTTCGTATGGGTACCATTGATCACCATCTTTCTTGTCTGACGTAAGTATTTGGAGGAAATTTAACAAGCCTCTAATCTTTAATACAAAAATCCTGTTCTTCATAATTTCTCTCATCAACAATGATAACAAACTATTACAACAACAACATCACTAATAATAATAACTAATTAACAATAATAGTTGTGGAGGTAACGCTACAGAATGTCCTGGTCACTTTGGCCACGTTAGAATACATCCAGTGTTTAATGTTCTCTTTATTAATACAGTAGTGAAGGTGCTACAAAGTGTGTGTATTCATTGTGGTAAACTTTTAGCGGATAAGAGTAGCTTACAATTTAAGAAGGCATCAAAATTCGTGAACAGACGTAAAAGATTCAAAGAAATGATCGATCTGTGTAGAAAAGACAAATGTATAATAGAAACAGGAAACAAGGAAAATGAACAAAATCAAGAAGCTAATATTGACCCAACTTTCCAACCAAGAAATGGTTGTGGTGGTCTCCAACCTAAGATTTCCAGAGATGGATTAAAGATTTTTGCAGAATATAAGAAGGATACTAGCGCCGAAGCTAAACAAGAATTAACAAAACAAGAATTGACAGCAGAACGTGCTCTTCAAATCTTTAAGAGAATTCCTGCTGAGGATTTGGAATTGTTAGGTTTTGATAAGGATAATGCTCGTCCAGAATGGATGATTCTTACATGTTTACCTATTCCTCCACCACAGGTTCGTCCAAGTGTTCACCACGGTTCAGCTGATCGTTCTGAAGATGACTTGACACACAAACTTGCAGATATTATCAAGGCTAATGCTGCCATTCAAAAGAATGAAAAGTCAGGTACACCACTTCATCAAATGGAAGAAATGGTTAGAATGTTACAATATCACTGTGCTACCTATGTGAATAATGAATATCCAGGTGTTCCAACAGCTACAACTAAAAGTGGAAGACCTTTAAAGTCAATCAGACAAAGATTGAAGGGTAAGGAAGGACGTGTCAGAGGTAACTTGATGGGTAAACGTGTTGATTTTTCTGCAAGAACTGTCATTACTGCCGATCCAAATATTGATATTGATCAAGTTGGTGTTCCTCGTACTGTTGCTTCAAATATGACAGTACCTGAAATTGTTACACCTTTCAATTTTGAAAGATTGAATGAATTAGTTACAAATGGTCCTTTAACTTATCCTGGTGCCAAGTATGTTATTCGTGAAGATGGTACACGTATCGATTTGAGATTTGCTTCAGGAAAAGCTAACGATCAAATTCAATTGGAATATGGTTACAAAGTTGAACGTCACTTACAAGATGGTGATGTTATTCTTTTCAACAGACAACCTTCTCTCCACAAAATGTCTATGATGGGTCACAGAATTAAGGTCATGCCTTACAGTACATTCAGAATGAATTTGTCAGTCACTACCCCATACAATGCTGACTTTGACGGTGACGAAATGAATTTGCACGTTCCACAATCTCTTCAAACAAAAGCCGAATTGTTAGAATTAATGATGGTCCCTAGGAATATTATTACTCCTCAAAGTAACAGACCAGTTATTGCCCTTGTCCAAGATACTTTATTGGCTGCTTCTAAACTTACACGTCGTGATGTCTTTATTGCTAAAGATTTAATGATGAATTGCTTAATGCACTTGATTGATTTTGATGGTAAATTACCTGTTCCAGCTATTTTGAAACCAAAACCATTGTGGACTGGTAAACAACTTTTCACATTCCTTCTTCCAAAAGTCAATCTTGAAAATACATCATCAACCCACGAAGATTTGACCGATAAGAAAGATCACTTGGATCACGACATACCTGAATTTGATACAAAGGTTTTAATTGACAGAGGTGAATTAGTTTCAGGTGTTTTGGACAAGAAATCTCTAGGTTCTTCTCACGGTTCATTGATTCACATTATTGTCAATGAAAAGGGTGTTAATGAAGGAAAGAAATTCTTGGGCCAATGTCAAAGAGTTATTAACCATTGGCTTATTAACCGTGGTTTCAGTATTGGTATTGGTGACACTATTGCCGATAAAGCTACTATGGAACAAATCGAAGAAACTATTAGAAAAGCCGAAAAGGACGTCAAACTTATTGTCAAGGATGCTCAAGAAGGTAAATTGAGAGCTGAAGCTGGTAGAACTATTCAACAATCTTTCGAAAATCAAGTTAACAAGGTTCTTAACAAGGCCAGAGAAGATGCTGGTAACAAGGCTAAGAAGTCATTGAAGGATGACAATAACATCAAGTCCATGGTGACAGCCGGTTCTAAGGGTTCTTACATTAACATTTCACAAATTATTGCTTGTGTCGGTCAGCAAAACGTCGAAGGTAAACGTATTCCTTATGGTTTCCGTAATAGAACTTTACCTCACTTTGCCCAAGATGACCATGGTCCTGAAAGTCGTGGTTTCGTTGCTAACAGTTACCTCAGAGGTTTAACTCCTCAAGAATTCTTCTTCCACACTATGGGTGGTCGTGAAGGTTTGATCGATACTGCCGTCAAGACATCTGAAACTGGTTATATCCAAAGAAGATTGATAAAGGCTATGGAAGATATCATGGTCAAGTACGATGGTACTGTCCGTGATGCTCAAGGTAATGTTGTCCAATTCTTGTATGGTGAAGATGGTATGGATGCCCACAAGGTTGAATCTCAATCAATTGATATTATGAATTTGAGTGATGCTAAATTCCAAGACAAGTATTGGTACAATTCTCTTGGTAGTTCTCCTTCTTTCACAAACCCAACTGAATCTAGTGTTTCAATGCCATCAGGTGGTATTCTTAAGGAGTCTTTCATTTCTACTAAGGTTTATGATGAAATTTTGAAGGATCCTGCAACCTATCTCTCAAAGGTCCGTGAAGAATACAAGACTTTGATGGAAGATCGTCACATTTTACGTACTGAAATCTTCCCTAATGCTGAAAATAAGATTGTCATGCCTGTCAACTTGAAACGTATTATTAAGAATGCTCAAAAAGAATATGGTATCCATCCAAGTATTGGTAAGCCATCAGACATGAATCCTATTTATGTTATTGAAAAGATTAAGAAGTTGTGTGACGACTTGGTTGTTATCAAGGGTACTGATGAATTGTCAACTGAAGCTCAAACTAATGCAACTTTACTTTTCAGTATGTTCTTGAGATCAACCTTCTCTTCAAAGGTTGTTCTTAAAGAATTGTGTCTTACCCAAGAAGCCTTTGACTTTTTGGTTGGTGAAATTAGAATGAGATTCCACAATTGTTTGGCTCAACCAGGTGAAATGGTCGGTTCTGTTGCTGCCCAATCTATTGGTGAACCTGCTACTCAAATGACTTTGAATACTTTCCACTTTGCCGGTGTGTCTTCAAAGAACGTTACTTTGGGTGTTCCTCGTTTGAAGGAATTGTTGAACGTTGCCAAGAATATTAAGACTCCAGGTTTGACTATTTATTTGAATAATGAATATATTGGTGACTTTGAAAAGGCCAAGATGGTTAAGGAAGATTTGGAATATACTACTCTTGGACATGTTACTGCTGCTACTTCAATTGTTTACGATCCAGAGCCAGCAAACTCTGTTATTGAAGAAGATAGAGAATTCATAGAAGAATTGTTGGAAGAACTCAAGGATACAGCAGTTTTGGATTCAACTACTCTCAATCCATGGTCTCTCAGATTTGAACTTGACAAGATGATGATGAGTGACACATTGACTATGGCTCAAGTTGCTAAGAAGATTCAAGAAGAATTCCAAAACGACATTACTTGTTTCTACTCTGACGATAACGCTGACAAACTTATTCTCGTTGTTCGTATTCACAAGGATGATAAAGAAAAGGAAAAGGATGCTCAAGTTGCAAAGGATCCAAGTGATGAAGTTCTCAGAAAGCTTGAAGAAGAAGACATTGAAAATAGTACTGTTGAATTTTTGAGAAGACTCGAATCAAACATGTTGAACGAATTGGCCCTTAAGGGTTATAAGGATCTCAAGAAGGTCTTTTTGAGAGAAGAAAATGACAAGAAGGTTTTCAGCAGTTCTGGTGTTGCTACTGTTAAACAATGGGTTTTGGATACTGAAGGATGTAACTTGTTGGCTGTCTTATCTCACCCTTATGTTGATCATACTATTACAACATCTAACGATGTTAATGAAATTCTTGATGTTTTGGGTATTGAAGCATGTAGAAATGCCCTCATGAGAGAAATGAGAAAGGTTATTGAATTTGACGGTTCTTATGTTAACTATCGTCACTTGGCCATTTTGTGTGATGTTATGACTCACAGAGGTGGTTTGATGGCTATTACTCGTCACGGTATTAATCGTAGTGACACTGGTCCATTGATGAGATGTTCTTTCGAAGAAACTGTTGAAATTCTTATTGAAGCTGCTACATTTGCTGATACTGATACTTTGAAGGGTGTTTCTGCTAACGTTATGGTTGGTCAATTGGCTCCAATTGGTACTGGTTGTTTTGGTTTGTATTTGGATGAAGAATTATTGAAGCAAGCTGTTGCTGTTAAACCAAGCTTTGTTACTGAAACTAAATCAATGTATGGAAGTCTTGGTGCAACAACACCTTATCATACAAGTGGTTTGGCTACACCTTATCATGGTGGTGTTGCTACCCCATATCATGGTGGTGCTTCAAGTCCATGGACTCAAGGTGCAATGACTCCTCTTGGAAGAACTCCTTCACCAGAATACCAAGGTGGATTCAGTCCTTCACCTTATAATTCTGCATTCTCTCCAGTTGCTAGTTCTCCAACTTCTCCTGGACATCAAGGTGGCTATTCTCCATCCTCACCAGGTAATTATAGTCCAACCTCACCTGCTTATTCTCCAAGTAGTCCAAACTATTCACCAACTTCACCAGCTTATTCACCAACAAGTCCAAATTACAGTCCTACATCACCAGCTTACTCACCAACTTCACCAAATTATTCACCAACATCTCCTGCTTACTCGCCTACTTCACCAGCTTATTCTCCAACAAGTCCAAACTATTCACCATCATCACCAGCTTACTCTCCAACTAGTCCACGTGCTACAAGTCCTGGTGCTGGTTATAGTCCATCTTCTCCAGCTTACTCACCAACTAGTCCAAGCTATTCACCAAGCAGTCCAAATTATTCACCATCATCACCAGCTTATTCACCATCCAGTCCAAACTATTCACCATCTTCTCCTGCCTATTCACCAAGCAGTCCAAGTTACAATCCTGGTGGTGGTTATAGTCCATCTTCACCTGCTTATTCTCCAACCAGTCCTAGCTATTCACCAACTAGTCCAAGCTATAGTCCATCATCTCCTGCCTATTCACCAGGACGTGAAGATAAATAAGGACTTTGAGAACTGATACATTGTAAATAAATATGGTTGTTGTTGTATTGTGGCTGTAAAGTTCATTCTCTATTAAATTTGGTACATGCTTCCCTTTTGGAATTTAATCTGCATGATTTGACGTTTCTTGTTGATTTGGCTGTTATTTCGTAATTACGAAAAAAAATTGCTCAACACCAACATACAATAGCACTGTACTTTTGAGCTTTACAAGTTCAACAAAAAACACGGAAACTTTGTACATGCCTTTTGAACATTGAACCATCTAAAAAAAACAAACAACTTGCCGAAACTATTAGAATCTTTAAATATTATCAATTTTACTATTGAGAGATAATATTGAGATAAAAAAGCCTCTCTCCATCATCAACATAACATTAGCCACTATCAATTTTCATCATTTTGATGAAACAGCATTGCCACCACATGTCATCATTCGTACACAAAATGTCTCCATCAACAAGCCACTTTCCAAAAAGCCGTTCTAGAAAAATTTATACTCTTACCATACTTGTAGTCTTGTTTCTCTTTTTGTGCAATACATGCTTTTTTGCCGAAACAATGTCAGCCACCAGTATTCCATCAACACGTTCCACCTCAACAAAAACACATTTAGAAAGTCAGGAGAACTTCCTAATCAACACAATTGGTCACCTAGCAGATCGTTTTAAAACATACTCTATCCCAAATGATATCGACTCACCATCACTCATGACAATGCATCATCTCTCAGTTGTTGTTGTTGATAATTCTTCACAACATGAAGTAATTCAAGCACCATCTGATGTTGCATTGAAGGATTATAACACGACAGAATTTTCAATCCTGTTGGGAAATGTTACTTATAATTTGACTACAGCTCAGCAGGCAATTGTCATGATTAGTGGAAATAATTTGGTTACGACTGTGACAATTGCTATCAGAGTAGTAATTGTCATTTTTGATATTTTTCTCACATGTTGCATTTTCCTGTTGAGAAATTATGAACCAATCAAGTCGAAATTCTTTGTTTCACTAATTTTGGTTGGTTTGAATGTTATCAGTCATATTCAGGGTACACTTGATTTTTTACCGTGGATTAAGATGTATTTTGAAAGTTATTGGAATCAATTTTTAATGGAAAAGAGTACTAAATCGGTTAGCGCTGCAACTTTTTATCAAAATAACTTGAATTCTAGCAATGGTTTGCCAAATTGGTTGGTCAATTATATTACATTTGAGAATGTGTATTGTTTCGTTAATTCGTATGTGCTTTATGGGCTTGTCGTTCTCAGTGTAGCTCTGTATAGTATTCAGATTATCAAACTCTTGCTTTTGACACTTTTAAAGGACAAGAGACAGGATATTGTAAAATCATTGGAAGATTTCAAACGAAAGCAATTGGAAAAATTCAAAAACATCAAATTACAAAACAAGACAGAACAGCAAAACGCTACTTCCAATACAATTCAAAACAGAAAATCATTGAGGAGACCAGCAGAAAGTACTGAAGATTTAGGTCAATTCCCTTCTAGTGCTTCAAATGTTGCTCTTAATGAGGGTGTTTCGACTTTGGATTTGAGTTCTCTTTCACAATCAGTCAATAGTGATGCACCAATGTCTGCCAGAGGTTCAAGGCCTTCAGAACTTGATGAAATTTCCAATGCCTACTCTGATTACGATGACATTGCTTTGGATTTGACAACCGATGACGATGCCATCTCTACATCTTACGAAGAAATTTCCAAACAAGGAAGATTTGCCAACTTGTTGAAGAAGATTATCAAATATCGAATTGTTGAAATATCGTATATTTCCTTGTGGGTCATTGTTTGGTTTGTAATTATCAGTGTTAGAGTTGCTTCTCATGCGAAAGACTCCTGGGAGAGTGTCTTTTACTCTTGGGAGCAAAACAGTGGATATTGTAGAAAGATTGATAGAGACAATGTTTCTATTTATGCAATTATCGTTCTTTTTATACTATTCCTTGCTATTCCATTATTTTTGGCAGTGGATTTCATATTTTCCATTTACAAATACATCCAAACAAGAAGAATCAATAAGGAAAAGGGAGAAAAGACTGAAAATTTCTTTATTTACTACTTTTACGAAACTGATCCTTTCGTATATAGAGTGGAAAGTCTTTTCATTGTCATTTTCGATATTGCTTCTGGAATAGTTCTCGTTATTGTCCCATCATATGGCCCAATTAGTTCACAATTGACTTCATCACTCGTACTAGCTATTGGTCTCAATTTCCTTGGTGGCTCGATCAGTAATCCAGGCATAACTGTAATGAAAGGCATTTGGAACTTTTTCCTTGCCTTTAAAGAAAAGAGAAAAGCCGCCAATCTCAATAACAGTGATTCCTCCAATGATAAGAACGCCAACGCTATTCAAAGTATTCAACAATTACTCTCCTCTCCAATTTGTTCCTACTCAATTGACTTTATCATTTCACACAAGAAGGAAAGAGATTTATTCTATCAATATTTGAGAGAAGAATATTCAGTTGAAAATTTACTCTTCATTGAGGATTTAAATCGATTGAGAAAGATTAACGAAAGACACGTTCGTTCCAAAGTAATGAAAATCAAGGAAATGACTAAACTCTACCTATCCGAAAGCAGTTCAGTATTCGAAATTAACGTTCCTTCCAAAATCATCCACACTGAACTGAAAGATTACAAAGAACTTCAAAACCTTCTCAACAACCACAAACTCAAAATCAACCAACTTCCTCGTATCATGAAAGATATTTCATTGAGATATTTCCCAAATATCGATCAATCCCAAGAAGAACTCATGAAACCGCTCATTACAAACATTTGTAAACCAAATATTTTCCCAACTTTACAAACAGAGGTTTACAAAAATTTAATGGACTCGTTTTATAGATTTAATAATTCAAGGAAATGGAAAGAACATATTAAGAGTGTGCAATCTCCTTAAATTTTTTAAAATTAAAAGTGCCAATGGAATATTGAAGCCGAATCTTGGAGAATGCAAAAGAAATGATTAGAATCATGTACGAAAATATGTCCTTAAAGTGTTGTAATCATGTATTCACGTTCAAAGTCTTGTTTTTGTATTAACTATTCCACTTTTAATGACCTGACAGTTCGTTATAACGTCAAGTGTCAAATCCAAATTCACAAGTAGTGGAGATTTAACCGCCAACATATGCAAACGAAAGCTTCAACATCAAACTACACAAAAAATCATCTTTAAAAAAACTCCATCAAGACCACTTGCTTTCGTTCATCACGATTCATAGATTCTTTTAGTTTCGTCAACGATATTAGAAAGTAGATAATGAAGAGAAAACTTATTCCAACATGGACATCCATGTTCATCTTGTTTCTTTTGATTTCGCTTGTCGGTTTGTGTTCCATCCAACCAACTGAAGCCAAATTCTTCTCTGGTTTCAAGTCAGCCGTCAGCAAGGCCAGATCTTCAATTTCTAACAAGGTCAAGTCTGTTGAATCAAAGATCAGAGGTGGAATTAACAAGGTCAAGTCAACAACCAACAAGATTAAGAATTTCAAGTCATCTGTCGAAAGAAAAATAGGTCAATCAGTGAAAAGAGCAATTCCAAAGACATTTAACAAGGTAAAGAATGCAATTTCCAAGAGAACTTCCAAATTTAAGAATAATTTCAACAAGGTAAAACAAAATTTCAGAAAAGTTAAAAGTAATTTGAAGGAAAAATCTAAAAAATTCAAAAATGGAATTAAAAAAATTGGAAACAAGTTGAAAAATAGCAAATTTGGAAAGAAATTGAAAGAAAAATCTAAAAAATTCAAGAATGGATTGAAGAAATTTGGTTCCAAATTGAAGAATAGCAAACTTGGAAAGAAGATTTCAAAGAAAGTTGAAACTACAAAGCAAAAGCTCAGAAAGGCAGGTTCCAAGGTTGACAATCTCTTCAAGAATGGAAAGAAGAAACTCAAGGAAAAGATTAAGAAAGTTTCCAAATCATTGAAGAATAATGTCATGAAGAAATTGCAAAAATTAAAGCAAGCTGGCGGTAAACTAAAGGGAACTAAAGTTTGGAAGATTATTTCAAAGCAATTAAAGAAAGCAAAGAATGTCATTTCAGCAATTAAGAATTCCAAGAAGAATGATCAAACAAGAGGTGTTGAAAAGATTAAATCACTTAATGGAATGAAGGCAAATCAAAAGGTTTCTCCATTGACATCAATTACAGCCAAGACAGTTTCGATTGCTTCTCAAATTTCTAATAATGCATACGAAAAGACAAATGATAAGAATTTGGAAAAGCAAGGTTATCAAGTCGTTCTAGCAACTGATCACAAGAAGGAAATGGTCGCTTCCAAGGTCTTGTACAATGAAAAAGATAAGACTCTTGTAGTTTCGTATAGAGGAACTGTTTCTACTTCATTGAAAGATTGGGGAAATAACTTGAAGATTGGATTGAAATCAACCTATTTCAATGGTCAATATGCTGGTAAAATCCACTCTGGATTCCTCAGTAATTACATGAAAGACAGAGAAGAAATCAACAAGGTCATTGCTCAATATCAAAAAGAAGGTAAAATTGACAAGATTGTTTTTACTGGACATAGTAAGGGAGGAGCCATTAGTGAAATTGCAGCAACTGATTATGAATTGAGTAACAAGAATTCAGGAGTTAAGGTTGAATTGGTTACTTTTGGAGGTCCTAGAGTTGGTGATAAGAAACATGCTGAAGTGGTCAACCAAAATGTTAAGGATTATGTTCGTGTTGTAAATACTTTCGAAAAGAATGGAAAGACAAAGCAAGATCTTGTAACTGAAGTTCCTCCTAAATTGTTTGGATATGCTCATGCTGGAGCTGAAGTTCAAGTTGGTTGTCCAAAGAATGGAGGTGTTTCATGTCACTTGTTAGATAATTATATGACAAATATGAATCCTCAATAAATTTTAAAAGATTGGAACGAACTCTAATAAAATTTTATAACTTGGGCAGTAATGCAGCTAAAGCAACAAAACTTTTCGTGAATATAAATGAACTACAAACATTATGAATGTGCTCGTCTCGTGGTGTAATGGTAGCATAGTGGACTTTGAATCCATTGACGGAGGTTCGATTCCTCCCGAGACGGTAAACGTGGCGAGCCATGAAATTTTTTGCTGTTTTACAAACGAAAAATTAAATAGAATAGGCTAGGCAGTCATTTTAGTGTTAAGATCCCATTCCTTTATTGATTATTGTCTTTCTTCGAAAGAAGATTCTGGTTTTGCAGTATGAATGAGTAAATTTCTTCAATGGACACGTTATTGGATGGTGTGGATTCAGCAGAGGATAAATTATTGAATTGCTGAGATTGCTCATTATTATTCAACCCTCTAATAATATTCTGAGCGAGAGAATTTGGAGATTCCAATAAATCATCGAGCTGATGTTGATATCTTTGAATTAATAATTGCACTATTTGAGAAAAGAGTTGCATTGACATGGAATCTTGCACATTTGCATAGCCAATCGATTCTTGTTGATTAGCTGGCGAGTTATTAAGTGGATTCTTCTCATAGATTGTCATTGTCGGTTCATTCAGAACAAATCTCCTTGTGAAAGTGTTAGAGTCTGAATGTGAATTGCACATGTATTTCTGAACATTCACTGGTTGAGGTGGTGAAATAAATAATGGACTCTGTGCTTGAACAACATGTGGAGAGGGACTCAGTGATGATGAGGGTAATGAATTGGATGAATTAGTTGAGTGGTGATTGTGAGCTTGGGGTGAAAATTGTTTCTTCTTGTTGTTGGAATGAAACTGTGCGCTATGATGGCTTGAAGAATCATTGGAGAATGAGTTTTGTTTTCTAGAGCTGGAAGTTGTGCCTGATGAGGAGGTTGAAGATGAATTGGAAACTGGTGCCAATATGAAATAATTATCTTTGAATGTTGAACTATTGCTGAGGAGGGGCTTTTCAAAGGCATAAACCTTCAAAGTTTCATCTTCACTATTAGTTGAATTGGGAGAGTCATCTTGGACATGCTCATCTTCTTCATCCTTCTTCAAGGTATCATCATGAAGCCAGTTTTCACCACCTCCATTCAAGTAGTTATGAGAGTTTTTCATCTTCTTCCTCTTCTTTTTCCTTCTCTCAATATCAATGGTTGTCTTATCAGTCTCATCTACAATATTCAAAGATGATTGTTCCATGGCAACTGCTGTGGATCCACTTATGCTAACAGATTGTCTCTGATATATTTGCGAACTGTTGGAAGGCGGAGGAGTACTATTAGAATGATAATTGATTGAACGTTCTCTCTTCGATAGAACAGTTGAAGGCAATTTGAAATGATGATACGTTGAAGACGAAGGAAGTGAATTGCTCATGATTCCTTCTTGTTGAGGTTCGCTTCTTTTTTCCTTAATTTCCAGAAAATTATCTTCATCATCGCCACTGCTATTACTACTCTCTGAATTTTGTGGATGATAAGGCTTTCTATCAGTCTTCATCTGCGCACAAACTTCTTATAAATAATATTCTTCTTAAAAATGAATATTCTTCTTCAATGATGGTTTTATTAAGGTAAGGTTCACTTTGCTCCCATACAAGGTGCGAGGGGAGGTAAAAATAGATTTAAGATCTTACAGAGGTGCGAGGCAGATTGAGGCAGATTTTTTTCGAGTGGTAAGAATAAGGGAGGAGATGTCTTGTTCTTTTTTTCGCCAAGTTGAAAAAAAACAAGAAATTTCTCAGCTGCAACTCTTGAAAACTGGCAAACTCATCATGATCAGAAGGTTTATTAAGAGAGTGATGCGCACTTACGATGATCTTGTTGATGGTAAACAAAGGTATTTTTACAGTATTCAAAATTCCGAATCTCCTCTTATTTCTTGTGTGTTTGTTGGATCTCACAGCAGCACACACTTTGTTGCATGTTGTGGTGTTGGATTGG